ATGTGATGTTGTCAAGTAGTAGATACTCTAATAATACAAATATGTAGATAACTCTGTAAAGTCACTTCGAGACATCATATGACTAGCGACGATATTTGTATTAAAACACGACTTTGTTTCTGGGTTATCAATATCATTTTCTAATTGGTTCTAACAAAAAATATGAAAAAAAATTATTTCCCTTCAAAAACCTTGCTTTTGTAGTCAGGACAAAGAAAAATTGAAATACGTATTCGTGCGCACCTTACAGAAACAGCACAAATTTTCGAGTTTCTCTTTATTTCAAAACAAAAAGGGAACATTATGTTTAAAATCTATAGTAGGTATATTTCAACTAAAATTCTACAAATCGGTAACAAAGAACCTAGAAATGTCGAGATTTGCGAGATTATGTAAATACCACACAGTTACTATGTAAATACAAATGTAATATCCACAAAAGCAACGTTTGTATAGTATAGCTTACATTACAAATTATAAAGAGAGGTAGGGCATAGCGGATTATATCCGTTCGAATTGGAGCAGCCCGTTGGGCAAGTTCCTCCACCTTACAGAAGACTGTGGGTAGATAACGCTTCTTGGTAGCGTTGTGTTCCTGCGGTGAGTAAAGTTTCCAGAGCTCCTGAGCAGGCGCTGTATCGACAGCAGGGGGACCTGTGTTAATGGGCATCCTACTCTGTATAAAAATGGCGGTCAGGGAGAGCCGGTGAAACTGCTTACCGTTGGCCCTGTGAGGCTGAACCGCCAGTCAGTGAAAAATCCTTGAGGCAACAAAAGAGTTATAGAATATTTTTATAATATTGCTAAGGTCATAATAATTTTCGTCCCTTTGTTTTCAAAATCGATCCGAGAATAGTGTTGCCTAACGTATACATCACACGTTAAATTTGGCCAAATAAATATACGGACAACGGCATATCAGACTACACATTTTTGTTCGAAAATCGCTTCCAGTGCAACGGAACAAGATACGTCAATGTGTAGCTTGATGTACTGGCGTGTGTACAAGCGCCCGTACCACGAAACTGCATGCATTATACAAAAGTGCGTTCGTTCGATATTCATGACGCAAGTAAAAGCCGTAATGTGTTACAAACATGAGGCATACACTCGGTTGCATATTTGTTTGCTCGAAATTCATACAAAATTAAAATAATTGTTTTTAAAATTAATTATCCAAATTCTGATTACAAAATCACTTGCCCTTGGAGGAAAGGTCCCTGTTTACCCGTTTACCCACAGTTATGACGCTTTTGTAGTTTATGGCACAATAATTAAGCATTTCTCGCGTTTTCGACTGGTGTTTATCTATGATAACGGTCGAGCGCGTTCTGAAGTGTAGCTGCAGCGGAAACTAAGTGAAGTTCATTTACTATGGGGCACGCGAAGTACGTACACTTGCGGCGTCTATCTATATATGTCCGTGTTTACCACCCTAAGAGATGGAATATTTTCTTCAAATTTATTTATTTATTTAGTTTGTACAACTTACACTTACAGTACTTATAACTAAACATGTAAGTCATAGTCACAAAAGGGGTTTTTTGTGACTATGACTTACAATTTAAATGCACCACTACTGAGGTACCCTCTTTTCAACAAAAAAGAATCATCAAAATAGGTTCCCAAATGCCGTTGACTTATCGCGTAGCATACATAAATAAAATACAATCGAATTGTGAACTTCTTCCTTTTTTGAAGTCGGTTAAAAACAAACTACTTGATTTTGTTTTTTCAAATCATGTTTAACAAAAATATATCATTATCAAAAATATAAAAAATGTACTCTATGACAATCTGCAATTATGCAATTACAAACTGCCTTTGAAAAGTTTTTTTTTGTAAAATTTTATTAACTTATATATTATTTTATTAACTTGCAAGGTGGAGTATTTGGGCAACTGGACCGATCGGGAAAGTAGACCGATTGTACGGAGGGATCACGACGGCCACACTTGTATCTAAGCGTGTCTTTCCTGGTCTCATAGACCACGGAGACCACTCGTCTATTTGAGCGCCTCTCCTTGTCGACTGACCGGTTTCACGAGCAATACCGGCTACGTAGCCTTACCAGTACGCTGAGTTAGTGCTACTGGGAGATTTTAATGCCCACCATATTGAGTGGCTCGGTTCGCGATCCACCGACTATGCGGGGAGGACAGCCCGCGAGTTTGCTTTGGCCTATGGGCTCTCGCAACTGGTTCATTCCCCAACTCGGATTCCAGACGTCGTGACCCATACGAGTTCCTTGTTGGACCGTCAGCTGACCACTCATCCGGACGAATATCACATCTCTACGGATGCGCCTCTCGGCTCATCGGACCACTGCCTTGTCCGGACAAAGCTTGCTTGCACACAAACCAACCTCTCTCGGCCCGCTGGGAAGCGTCGTGTCACTATAAGTTAGCAGACTGGGATGGACTGCGTGAGTTCTACGCGTCGTACCCGTGGAGACACCTCTGTTTCGCTTCGGGTGATCCTGACACCGGTGCAGCCACATTTGCTGAGACGATTCTGGCGGGTTTGAAATATTTTATAACAAACTCGCTAGTAGCCACTGGTGTCGAAAAGCGTCCGTAGTTTAATGGACCTTGCAGAAATGTTAGAGTTGCAAAGCAATCTGCTTTTGAAGCTTGGACTACGGTGCTCAAGAACCGGGGATCCAAAGCTTCCCGACGCGAAGAGGAAACTAAATGCTACCTCGAAATCCTGCAAACGAACGAAAGCAAAATTCGCCAAAGCAAAATTCGATTTCGTCGGCAGAATTGAGGAGCGACTGGGACGAGGGGCCGTCCGAATAATACCTAAAGAATAAATAATATAGAATATATCCAAAGTAGTTGATTGGTTTACTGTTAATAACCTGCTCCTTAATGAGAAAAAAACAAATTGTGTGAAATTTACGTCACCCAATGTTAGAGAGAATGTTACAAACATTGTAGTTAGATATGAAAAATTTATCTTGTGAATACAGTTGTATTTTTAGGTGTAACGTTAGATGCTAAATTGCAATGGGGTCCACATATAAGTAAGTTATCAGAACGGCTCAGCTCTGCAGTGTACGCGATTAGAAACATACGGAAACTTTCAGACGTCGAAACCGCTAGATTGGTTTACTTCAGCTACTTTCACAGTCTAATGACATACGGCATTTTGCTTTGGGGTAATGCCGCCGATATCAATAGAATCTTTGTCCTGCAGGAACGTGCGGTTAGGGCAACTTACAATCTGGGCCCCAGAGTATCGTTGAGTGATAAGTTTAAAGAAATTAATATTACACTAGCGTCACAGTACATCTATGAAAATGTAATTTATGTTAAGAGGAATAGTAATCTGTTTATGAAAAATAGTGACAGACATAACATTAATACGAGGAATAAAAATAAACTAGCTGTTCTTGGTAATCGACGACTATTAGTGAAGATATCACAAAGTGACAAATTAATTTAAGGGGCAATGTATACGCTTCTATAACAATATTCCGATTGATATACAAAAGTTCCCATTCACGAGGTTTAAAACTATAATGAAACAAAACTTTATACTAAAGGTTATTATATAACTTCTGCTTATTTGGATGGCAAAAATCCGTGGTAGTAGCCCGTTTAGCTCATGGAGGTAGCCTCGATCTCCGTCTCGTGTTTGAAAGCAAAAAAATATATGTTGTAAATGTTGAATGCGTACAAATGTTATTCACAAAGAGCAACCTCTTTGTTTTCGGAGTTGTTGTTCTCTGAGTTTCTTGCTCATTATTCTCAGGGGAATCTGCCTTACGAATGATTGGTAGAGTTTAACCAATGTGACGATTTCAAGTGTAATAATGCTTACCTATGAAATAAAGAATATTTTGATTTTTAAGTTTATTCCAGCGTGGACAATAAAACACCTTTATAACTTCTGAACAGTGGAAGACTAAAATCTAGTTTTTTGCGACTAGAACCGACTAAATGGTGCCCTTTTATCTCGCTAGCCAAATTCCAAAAACTCGACCATGGTCAAGCTGGAATAAGGTACGCCAATTTACAAGGCCGCGAAACGGACTGGAAGGAACAGGAAGGAAAAAGTTTCTGGACACTCTCGATACGGCTAGTCCATCAGTTAACCGCTTATTACACTACCCTGATTTCAATTAACTCTAGAGTGGTGTAACAAAATTTAGCGAGTTAACGTCCATAGTTAGGGCGGATTTAAAAGATAACGGCATCCTATCTAGAGGTCACGGTTAGGGACCTTTGATGCAGGGCCCATGAAATCGGGTAGACTAATAAACGTTTTAAAAGTTAGAGAGTAAGGAGCGAGGTATGCTCATTGTTTCTCAGACGGACATGATCCGAGTTGAAGTTATCCGACAGAGAACCAAGGTCATCGACACAGCTGGTAGGATAAGCAAGCTTAAGTGGCAGTAGGCTGGCCATATCTGTCGAAGAACCGATAACCGATAGAGGAAATGAGTAATAGTGTAGAACACTCTTTGGCCTTTTAGATAAAAGTGGCGATCTGCGAAAGGCTGCTGGTAGCACATGGATGCGACAAGGGACCGGGCGAAATAGTGCATTGATGATGACGTAAATTGTGTAACTGGTCACACTGGCACAAACTGGTCTCGAGGTTTTCCGCAGCTAGTATTTAGTTTGTACGTTACACAATTGACATAAAGTTCATTATACTATGTACAATTTCCTAACAAAAATTCACTTCCACTCCATGACAACGTAATTATGCCTTATGTAAATCATTCATAAATAAATCTCTCATTGCCTTGGTTAAGCACTATGTTCTTATGTGGAAATTCATTAATACCGTTTAAATTGAATATTTGTTCCTTGATCATAAAAGATCTTCAGGTAGATTGACGAAATTCCACAGTCGTATAGTAGACGCGGTAATAGAGTAAAAGTCGAAGGTCACGATCAAAGGAGCGAAGGGGAAAGAGCATATTGAAGTAGGGCGAAAAATGAAGCTAAAAGTAAATGTTAAATTGAATAAGACAAGCGTACCTGGTAGACAGTGTATTGTTTTTCAAACAGACTAGCATCTAAACAAAAATAAAAGCAAAAAAAATAAGTAACATCTTCACAGTTAATCTAATTAAGTAATTTTATTTCTGGTTATCGTAACGTTACTTATAAAGACAGGAGTTACTTTAATTATCTCGTACTACTAAAGGTCTGTTACGCTTGCGCTCTCATTTCTTGTCCATTGTGGACATTTGTTCTTTGTGGCGGCGGATGGCATCCTCGTGGCGTTTGATCTGCTCTTGATGGAAGGAGATTTCCTTGTCTAAGTGCGTCTTCAGATTGGCAATTTGCTCCTTTTGCTGAAATGAGAAAAGTATAATCTCATTACAGATTACTAAAAAAAAAACGGCCTCAAAAGTTCGTGGTATTACATCTATTTGCAAAGTTTTATCGAAATCGGTCACCGGAAATTGCGCAAAACCATATATTTATATATGGTTTTGCCATAGTTTGCCACATAGTTTGTGGAATATTTTCTTCGAATTTAAATGGGACCACGACTGAGGTACCCTCTTTCCATCAAAAAAATAATTATCAAAATCGATTCACAAATTATCGTGTAAAATACATAAAAAAAATACAGTTTAATTTGATAACCTCTTCCTTTTTTTAAAGTCGATTAATTTTTTTGTAATTAAGGATTAGATTTTGTAACACACCTATAGAAGACTTTTAGGAACCCTACCTTTCCGTTAATGGCTTATTATTTTACTTTACCGTAAAAGCCAGTGATATAACTTGCAAACTAAACTACACATGATACACAAAGACTGGCCTCCTTGGTCTTTGGATGTCTCACGCAATTTGCCATTTTATGTCAACTTAAAAAAAATACAATTTTGTTAAAAAACAAACTTGTAATATATATAAAATTAATTCCTTAACAGCCTGCAATAGGTGAATATTCTAGTGACGATCTCCGTGGCCGAGTGGCTTGCACACCGATTGTCATAGTATCGCCATCTGTGAGGTCCTGGGTTCGATCCCTGGCCGGGTCCATATAGAAAGACTAACATTTCTATATATACAGGATTATTTTTAAAATACCAACAACATCACAGAACTATATTACTAACATCATAAATAACTATTGTTGTATAACTTTTTACAAAACATAATAAACACTTCCGGCTGATTTGGTTAGAATGTCATTATGTACTAATCAATATATTTTTTTTTTTTCACTTATTTATTAAGAAAACCAAAGTCGTTACATAAAATATTTTACATAGTGTTTAGGCTAAGAGTAAAGCTAATGACAGGTTTCCCTTGTTTACATAATATGTAAAATATAATGATATTATCATTATATAATATGAAACAAAAGTAGGTACATTTAACATTAGTGATGAGTGAGCAAGATTATACTAGTTTTAGATGCCGAAATCACAAAATCACTTGTTGTGTTAATGTAAACAACTCGTCGTTATGCTAAACAGAAACAACTAAAAAAAGTGACCTTTTTAATGCAGCTATTGTTTTTCGTGTTATCACCAGAATGATGAAATTAAGTTACTAGGATATTTTATTACCATTCTTCATGTAAGCAACCGCCAAGGATGGACTGTCCATCATCAGCATTTCTACATTAGTTAAAATATTGTGAATAGTTTTAAGATGCAATGTACCATGCGATGTGAAAACTTTGTGTCTATATAGTGATAAGTGTATTTATTAGCAAATATAGTGTATAAAGTGCAATTGTATTATATAATTATAATGTAGATAAGCACAGAAGACGTTTTGTGTACCTGTTTTTTATATATGTGCTTAGAAACGGTGAACTTTATTGTTCAAACCTCAAAAATCCCTTTTACCAGTGTCTAATTTTCTAAGTGTATTTGTTTTTTAAATGTCGGAAATGAAACTGTCAAATTGCAGTACCTTCGTCCGTTAGTGAAATTTTTTTGGAACTTAAAAATAAACTCAAGTTTTTGTTGCTCTATCTGGCGCTATATTGATCTGTAGGTGGTAGTAATATCAGATTTGCAAGCGTCCTCCGCGATGACTCCCACCCCCGCCCGAGTTATTATCGTTTAGAGCGATCTATTTATATTTTTTATTAATTATCTATTATATTTATTATCTATTATATTTATTATTTATTATCTATTATATTTATATTTTTGTATGAAAGTAAAATCTGATAAATTTTTTATTAGGATTATATTTTAAGTAGCAGTAGAGCTCCTTGTGAAAGAGTTCGTCGAGGTAAGTACTGCCACTTTACCTATTTCTGCTGCCAAGCAGTAATGTCCGCACTGCTGTGTTTCAATTTTGAAGGGTAAAGATGCTGGAGAAATTACAGGCACATGGGACTTGTCACCTTATGTCTCAGAGTGACGAGCGTATTGGTAGTACACCTCAAATCTTTGGGATTTAAAGCTCTGAGTGGCACTGCAACTGTTATGGACAGGCGTGTAGCTTACCATTGGGCACACGACTAGTTCGTTAGTAGTTAGTTATAACAAAAGTTGTTGTTTATGATGTTGGTAATATAGTCCTGCGAGGTTGTTGGTATACCGAGTGTTTATGTTAATGACGTTGTTTTAGATTTCAATAACACAAGCGCTTTAGCTAGTTACTTTAGGATCAATAATGTGATGTTGTCTAGCATTTTATTTTCTTTAATACTGTAATAACATAATACGTACTAAAAATTAATTATTATTTTGCAGGAAACAGCCAACATTAAGCAGTATTGGTACATAATGAAGATCAGCTATAAATTTCAATTTTAACCTCGGTTAGGCAATAAAAAACAGTTATCTGATAATGAGATTGCACAAGACATTGTCCTTGTTAAATTGGCATTTAAAAAATGTACCCGAACAACAAAGTTCATGAAGTAGTTCCACTGACTCAATAATAAATGTTTTTTTGCTTTTAACAATAACATATAGAACTGTATACAAAATAATAATTATAATACAAGGATAAGAAAAAATTGTACATACGCACCCCTCAGGGAAGAATGGCATAAGTGGAGTTACGTCAAACATGTCTATTGCTCCATTATATATAGAAAAATATGACCCATATCCTCTCCAATTTTTGTTAACTCTATCTATGTAGATAGAGTTACAAAAATTGGAGAGGATGTTTGTTATATTTTTTTATACCTAATGTAGCAATAAACGTTTTTGACCACTTATGCCATTCTTCCATGAGGGGTGCGAATACTCGGACGCCGAAGTAGGGTTTAACATTAAATTTATCTCAGCATATAGCACCTTATCCCATGGATAACAATCTTTATCCAACCACTGTACTGATGATGAAATTCATAATTTATTTTAAATTTGATACTGGTGGCCCCATCAAATAAACTTGTATTATCTACACATTTATTACATATATACAGCCCCATGAAATAAACGTATATTATACCCATTTACTCACACACACCATTTACGTTGATTTGTACTTTGGTTTTTTAAAAGTTGTCTGCCCCTGTAGCATGGCTACACATGATAGTCGCGACACACGCGATAAAATTGAAATAAGCGCGCGATATTGGCTGTCTCAATAAGATCTAATTTAGATAGCCAATAGGGCGCGTTTATTTCAATTTTATCGCGCACGTCGCGACTGTCATGCGAAGTCATGCTATGGGGCAGGTGTTTAAAATTTGTCATAGATCGTAGTCAACTTACTGGAGGAAATGGGGCTATAGTAGCAGCACTACATTAATTGAAATCAAAACACGCGAACATCTAATGAATGTTTAAAATTGAGGAGCTTTGGAACAAATATTGACCAATTGGATAAATTTCCATTATAATTTCATCTAAGCTCATTGAATATGTTTGTCTCTTTGTGTTCTGATCAATGCATTTGAAACATATTGTGAAGGAAGGTTTAGTCATTACTGTTCAGGAGTAATAAATTATTCATAGAAACATGCAAAAACTACTGTTCAACGTTAAAAAGGAAGAACAAGACAAAGCGTGACTTAATCTTCCTTTCGGGTTTTGTTCTGACACTCCTCAATTATAATAAGCTCCCAACCTTCTTGTAGAAGTACTCGTCTTCCCTAGCAGCCTCCATTTTGCCGAAAGCGCCTCCAGCCTCACGGATAGCGCCACCACCACCGCCACCCTTACCAGCTCCGGAGCCAGGCTCACCACTATACATTCTGAAAACATTGTACCACATTTCTTTAGAAACTTCACATTTTCAGTTTCTGCCTTAGTTGAACGGTCATTTCAGGTATTTAGGGTTTTGTTAATAAAATAAATATATGTGATTTAGACCAGGAAAAAGCCTAAGAAATCAATATAAATGGTATAATTTATGATCTAAAATCTGTCATGACTGAAAATTAGACTACCTAATCCTAGCCCAGAACAATGCTTGACAGAAATTAACTACTGCCAAATAAACTGTCTATTTCAATCACGGAAAGACAGCAACAAGCACAATTATCTTTAAAAGAGAAAATACAATCATTTATTACGAAAGCTAGTGGCACCAGTGTTCGACATCTTTTTGTTAAATAATTCATTTCTAATAAGATTTTAGGCCAAAATTTTCTATCATAGTAACACGAATTTTATTGCTAAGGGTATTTCATTATTGGCAAGTGCCGATTACTGGTTAGTGGATTTTTGTTGTTCATTACTAAATTCAGAGAAATTCTTGTGTAAGGTTTTTTAGTAATAATTATAACAGCTTTTTTAGGAAACATTATCCATAATTCATGATTTCCCTTAAAATGTCGACCATTGGTGCCATCACCTCACATGTTTTTAAAATATTAATAAAATCATGCTGTAAGATGAAATTGGACATACTTCAAAATATCTTTATAAGCATGATTAACAGTTTGATATCATGTAAACAACACGATGACAAACATTAGGCAAAAGTTATTTATATACGAGAAATACCGTGAGCAAAATACGCGAAAAATTTAAGTAAACTACGTAGATATGGTCTCGAATATACATACTTGATAATAAATAGTAATAATGTCTATTCTTACGAGTAAAATTTCCGCGACTTACTGCGTATTTGAAGGTATTGTTTGGATACACACGACAAAGAGAAATTGGAGTACCAATGACCATGTCACAACAATTTCAAACGTAGACAAGACCACTGTTAGACTCGTATCCACAATTGCGTTACCCTACAAAGTTTTAAACATGAGCGATTATACCAAAGGGAATAGCATGTATTTCGCAATACACTTAGCGCCAAGTTAACTGATAAAAGCAAGCAAAGGGATTGCGTAACCTACCATGCCGGTTGCAAAATTTCTCACCTTACGCTAACAAGAGAACGTAACAGCGATGGCCTGCTTTTTACAATGAAGCTCATGATTTAAGTCTAAAAAAACACGAAAAATCTAACAATTTATAGAAAAATTCTAGCAGTTTCCAAGAAGATTCGATGAAAATTTGACAGCTAGAATGACGTTTACTTGACGTTCCTGTAGCATAGACAATCATGATGAGTATTTTTGGATACTCTTTTAAACGTAAAAATCCATTTTTTTTTCAATCCTCTAAGGGTAAAATAAAGGAAAAATAGAATAGGAAAAGTTAGTAGTTTCCATTCGAACTATTTCCACAGAGTAAATGATATAGAAACCTGTAACTTTTATTTAAAACTAATCTTTTACAAAACCATGAAATAAAAACTTTCCCTATTATTATTTAAAGCTAGAATCTTTCATGTGAAATTTTCACGTTGAGAGCTTTCACCTCTAGTGCTTTGAATATAACCCTAAGGGTCGTGTTCGAGAACTCTACTCAATGCTCAAGTCAG